GTGGTGGGCGAAAGAGCCAGAAAAAGAACAAACAGCGCACAGACCTCTCCAGATGAAGTTCCATACAGGGCTGCGACAGGGGCGGAAGGGGCACCCTCAGCGACTCTCCAGGCTGGTTGCTTGGTCTGTTTTGTTGATTTTGTTGGTTTTATGACATGCCATGTGACACATGGCACTTGATTTAATTGGTGTTTGGTTTGGTCTGGTCTGCTGGGGGCTGGCACAAAAGTCTAGCCCAAAACAGTGGCTTGTAAATTTTGCTACCCTTGTTAAACAAGAAAAATTTCATCTGCAGCTTCTAAAGTCTTTCGACACTGCACCTTTGGAGAATCTGTTCTGACTACTCTACTGGTGAATCTGACCTTGAATTCTGTCGACTCAGGATGGTTCCACTCCAAGTCAGTGCATTCTCTAGATAGTTTTCATGAAGAGCTGAGTGAGAAGAAACGCACCAGTCATGGCTGAACTGTCTACTCTCTAATGTCCCTCCCTTTTCATCTCAGGCCCCTCTTCATCTGGTATTATAGTCGAGCCCCATCTCATGCATATGGGGAACAGGGAATGTTGTCTAGTTCTAGACTTCCAGGCTAGGAAGTGCCAGAATGTGGACTTTGCATTCAACTGCAGTGGGGCCAGAGCCATTTGGTAGCCAGCAGGAGTTCCTTCTGGACAGCCCAGGTCTCCCATGCCTGCCCCCTTCCATTTTGCTACCTGAGTGCCCTGTAGCTTAATGTGCACAGCCTCCACGGGATGACATAAAACTCCCAACCCGTGACGCTGCTCGGCATGCACGTTTCTATCAGTCAGAGCTTGGACAAGCAGGGGCCTGCCCTGGAGCCCTGTGGGGAGCAATCCCATAGCCACTGTTTTGTACTCTGTGCTCTGTTGGCAACTGACAACAGCTCTGCTTGCTCCTGGGGCTGCTTCTCGGGAGAAGTTTACTGGGCACTGATTCAATGTGGGCAGGAGACAGGTCCCCAGTGCCTAGGGCAGGGCGTCTGGGTTAGAATCTAACCATGTTATTCACAAATTATGATCTGCTTATAACTCTAGCTCTATTTTGGAGACAGAGGCTAAAAAGAAACACTCCTCAAACCCTTAGCCGGCACCCAGAAGGCCATTGCTTTTCTTTCAGCATTTGTTGGAACCCAGACTTGTCTCGCACAGCCAATTTACACCTCTTATCTGATCGTCCAGTGCAGATTGAGAAGCAAAGAAGGTTGAATGAAGCGAGTCTGCCCGTGTCCATGGCAATGGAGTTAAAACCCCCAAACAAAAATCAAAGCTCCCTCGGAGAGGGGGGGATGGGGAGATGGTTCTGGGATCCCCGATTCTTTTGGCCCCCGGGTGCGGGGACGTGAGGGCTGGGATTTCCCACCATCTGATAAAATCCATAATCAGGACCCCAATAATTTCCCGACAAAGCTCAGTCTCCCGTGAATTCCGATGAACTCGGACCAAGGGGAGCTTCGAGGTCGGGCGTTGGTGGGGATAGCTAGCGCCAGGGGGCTCCCCTGTCCATCTGAAAACGTAAGGAAGGGGGTGTCGGACCCAAGCAGTACACGGCAATAAACTGAGTGTCGCCTCCGACCCTTCCATCCATGGAAAAAAGAAAAAACCACCCTGCCAAACCACAGGAGCTGCGGCATAGATGGGCGGCGTCCCTCCCCTCGGCTGGAAAGCTGATTCTCGCCCCTACGCCCCCCACCGCGCAATCCGCAGATCTCCCAGACCACCGCCCGCCGGGACCGAGCGCTCGGCTCTTGCGCAGCCCCACACTCCGCCTCTTGGAGCCCGGGACCTGGTGGGAAATAACTGCAGCACGGCCAGCCCCAGGCGCAGGGCGAGGGCGACCGTTTCATCACAGCGTGCCTAGCCTCCATGAACTCATGTTGATATTAAAAAGAAATCAATCAGTGAAAAATGAAAGCATTGGCTGTGAATGCAGTATTTCTGTTTCTCACGCGGTAAAGCCAAGAAGCCAGGCGGTGGGGACGGAGAGGCGGAAGCTCGCCAGCGCCTTGCAGAGGCTTCTCCCGGAGAAAGAGCCGCAGCCGCGACTTAACTTTCTGGCACAGGGCAGTGTCGCAGAATCGCTGCAGGGTTCTCCCAGGGGAAAAGGAGGAGGAGGAAGAGGAAGGGGGTGGGGGCAAGAGGACGTGACTGGAGAGACTGGAGGCGGCCAACTTCGCGGAGGCTTTAGCTTGGGTTTTGCTTTCCCTGGGACTATTTTTGCCGAATGGAACGTGTATGGATCGCTGTGCTCTGTTTCCGCTGCGTAGCCCAAACAAATCGATGCGGTAATACAGACGGCGCTTGTGGGGACTGGGGGAGCATCATGCGGGGAACCCGGGAGCACTACGTCCACCACGTGGATGCCCGCGCGCTGCGCGCTCTTCACCTGTTCAGGCGCGCGGGTGGACTCTGGGCGCGCCGCGCTCCTAGAGGCTGCGCGAGTTGCGCGCGTTCCTGCCTTTTTAGCTGGCTCCTCGCCACCCCTCCTCTATCCTGAAATCCCACCTCCGCTTCCCGCCACTCAGCAAAGCTAGCGCTCGGATCCTCTGCCCCGGCAGCCCTAGCCCTTCAGAGTCGCGACGAGTGGCCGGCGCAGAGCGGGGCGCCGGGGGTCAGGTGGGAGATATACCGTCAGAGCCAACCCAGGGGTCCTGAGCCCCGGAGCCCGGGCCAGAGGGGGACAAGGAGGCTGAGCCACGATTTAGCGAGGCGGAGTGGCGAGCAATGGGATAGACGGGTGCTCGGCGCCCTGGCGGCCACCCAGTCGCCCATCAACGCAAGGGGCCGCACGCTGGGATTGCGGGGTTTTCCGCTCGGTCGCTCCCGGGCGCGAACATTCTCCTTCTCTTTCTTCCCCGATTTCCTCGGAATGGGTTTTCGCAGCCGCGGCGGGGGGCTGAGCCGAACCGCCTCCGGGCCGGCGCACACTGGGTGGGTGAGTCCGAGGTCTCGCTTGGCCTCGCCCTTTGCCACCCGCCGTCAGCTCCCCGGGTGCCAGTCGAGTGTCTGCTGAAAACCTCAGCAACCCGCGGCTGGCGATCGCCTTTTCGGGGTGGGAGTAGGGGGACTGAGGAATCTCCACCCTGGGGGAGTTCCAACTTTGAGCCCCACCCGTGGTCCTATTCCCGACCCCAGACAGTCTCCAGGTGGGCGCCAGGCCCTGGCGCTCCGCAGCTCTGGGTTTCTCTGGAAGTGACGCAGCGCGGCCAGCGGTTGGAAGGGGAGGGGGCTCTGCAGAGCAGGTGGCTGAGCCAGAGTGGATCTGAGCGGGTGTCACGCGCACACAAGTACACGCACTCTGCGCCGCGTTTGGGGACAGATGTGCGTACATCTGCGGTAAGCGAAAGCCCCTGAATCTTCACAACCTCTTCCGTGCCACACAGTACCCTTTACCTTAAGTTCGGAGTCTGTGCATGCCGGCGTGTGTGCCAGTGTGCGCGCACTCGTGCGCTCGGGCCTACCAGAGTCCGTGCCTGAATACATAAAATACCGTGGGCATCTCCCAGGCGCGCTCACATACACACATTTACCCCAACATTCTTAATTTGTGCTTCAAGGCGGACCTCAGAATTAAGGCAAGAGTCAATGGGGAGGCCCAAGAAACCTCCCCCATCCCTTTGATAGGATTTGCAGCTGCATTGAGGACCAGTTACAGTAGACAGAGATTTGGATTTGAATGGCAAGGATTCCTTCAGCTGCTCCCCCCCCCTCCCCATCCAATGTCCATGCTTGGAGTGTGTGTGTGTGTGTGTGTGTGTGTGTGTGTGTGTGTGTGTGTGTGTGTGTGTGTGTTGGCCAGCTCAGGGACTGAGATCCAGGGTGCCAGGGCAGAGCTCTTCCCACCAGCCACACACTGCGGGATGCCAGGGAGGCTGCAGCAAGTTAGCCCTACGGCTGCCGCCATCACCTTGAAAGTGGTCTGGGTAAGGACACTCCAGGAAGGGTTACTTCCCCTCCTTCCTAACCCCCGGATTCCTTCATTGATGGTGTCCCGGTGGTGAATCACCTGTAGCAGCTGAGCTAGGAATTGAGTTATCCGCTTCCAGACCCTGTTCTCCAAGGAAAGGAAGGCTCAGGCAGGAGAGTAGCTCCAGGAAGGAAGGAAAGAGGAGCCCCCTGGATGCCTTGAAAGCCAGGCTCAGCAGGCAGGGAGCAGACCCCATTGGCAGTCCCCACAGAGGCTGGCCCCAGCAGATCTGGGCCTCCCCTGGCTTACCTCTGTAGTCTCTCCACACACCCTTTTTGGCAGCGGTGGAGAACAAATTCCACTCCAAACTTTCTAACCACTTCACAAGAGTGAGAGCCCTTACAGGGTCATGCAGTTTGTTTTATCTAATAATACTTTTTTTTTTCAAAGAATATTTGATTTACTTTCCCAGAAAACATACGGATGCAACAAAGAGCAGGGAGGACCCATGGCTCGGAGTGTCAGCAGTGCCCAGCTCCAAGCCCCCAGCTCACAAGCCAACTTACTTGGCCAGCCTCAGCCTGAGGGTTCTTAGGCGTATCCACCCCTTCTGCAAAGAATCCCCAGGATCTGAAAACCCAAACTCCTTTCTCGCTTTTCCCAAGCCCTTCAGTGAGCATTGCTCCATGTAGCTAAGTGGAAGGATTGCAAATGATTTATATTTCGCTGGCTAGGTTGGAGGAACTCAAGGGAGATGTGTTCTGCTTCAAGACAGGGGGAAAAAAAAGCCCCCAAAACTGTTTTGCAAAGGCTTTGTAGTATTTTTAAACCTTTGATTCAGTCCATATGTGACATCTGAACACCGCCAAATTCTGTTTCAAAACACCACACACACACACACACACACACACACACTCCTAGCAGCAGAGGAAAGTTAGGTTCTAGCGGGGCCTCCCTCTCTATGTATGACTCGGGGAGCTTCATCATGTGTGATTCTGCCGGGCTCTCCCCCGTATCAGCCAGTCCCTTGTAACGGGAAACCATGTTGAAATGTATAGAAAAACTTTCGGGGGCTTACCTGCTTGGCCTCTCACTTCGTGTCCCGAAAAGTAGACGGCTAGGAAAACCCAGGTGAGCAGCGACATATCCATTCTGGAGCAGGGGGCTTTCCCCCAGAGCAGGGCTTTGCAGGTCTCTGGTCTAATTACAAGTCTTTGTGTTTGTCTCTTATTTTTTCCTTTACAATGTCTTCTGTAAAGGTGTCTTTACCGGGGCGGGGGGGCTGGGTACCCTCCGGGGTCCGGGCGCCCCGTCTTCACCTTTAGTCTTGTTGGAATCCCCACCTCACCAGGAGGAGGCAGCCCCCCGCAAGCCACCAAACGGGAGCAAACCGCGAAGAGGGGGATCGGGTTTCCTCTCAAAACGCATCTATGTTCTCGCCAGTTCCTCAAAGTGTCATTTCCTTTATCCTACAACATCACGAGTATTTCCCGAAAGCCAGGCGTCAAATAACACGAATCATCAGAAAAATTAAAGCCAAGACTTGCCTCGGGCATCCCCTGGCGCGGCTTCCCAGGCAGCGATGTGATCTCACGGGCGTGAAGGGACACACATCCCCCGGTCCCGGGGACGGACACGCGGGCGGGGGCACCGGCTGCCGGACAGCCCGAGAGACGGCCGCCCGGGCTCTCGTCCTCGCCGGGTTCCCCTAGCGGGAGCCTCCCCCAAGCAGCTACACCCGCCTGGCCAGCCTCTCGAGGGGCGTCTCAGGAAGGAAGCTGCTGCTGCTGGTGGTGGTGGTGCTGCTGCGGCGGCGGCGGCTGGTGGAGCGGCTGGGATCGCCTGGCGAGTGAGCGAGCCCTTCTCCGAGTTCGCTGGCGCCCGCCCTCACCTCCACCTCGCTCTGCGCCTCGCCGAGGTCTACGAGTCGGTGGCTGTGCAGGGGGCGGGCTGCGGGGTGGTGACTCGCTCGCGGTCTCTGCCTCCCCTCCGGCTCCCCCCCTCTTCTGCCTTTTCAGGCCGAGCAGCATGTGGATGTCAGAGCCGGCAGCAGAGCTATCCGATTACGCGCCGGCTCAGGGCCCGCCCCTTCTGTGTTCCTGATTAAAGAGGCAGCCGCTGAGCCGCGCGGCTCAGAGCCCACTGCCGCGGCCCCGAGCTCGGGCGGGGCGGGCCGGGGCGGGGCGGCGGCGGCTTCCCAGGGGCGGCCGCGCGATCAAAGTTAAGGCAGCTCCCCACCCGGCCGCCCCGCTCTCTCTGCGCGCCACCCGCGCGCCCTGCACACCCCGCCGCCGCCGTGCTGCCCGTGCGTCACGCCCCGGGGAAGAGCGCCCCCGGGCACCTCCGGGGAGCGCTGCCCTTGGGCGCGCCGCCTCCCCTCCCTTCACCCCCCAAGGGAAACTCCGCGGATAGCGAGGGGAAATCCTGGTTCCCCCGAAACGCTGCGAGGCCGATGCCACACGCGCAGAACCTGACACAATGCCACACGCCATAGCGTGGCGAGAGAGGAGTTGGAGGCGTTCGGTGTCTGGGGAGGGAGTCAGTGGCAGCTCAGCCATGCGTTCTCGCAGGCAGCCTTGCGTGGCGGCGACACACATCATCAGCCTAGACCGATAGAAACCCCAAACACTCCCTGCGATCATGACTCAACTTCATTGTCGAGTCCCAAACACGCCCCCTTGTCCCTGAACCCGTAACTTGTGAGCGTCTCCAGAAGAGCAAAGACTTTTCTTCTGCGAAGAATTCTTCAAGTAATTAAATCGGATTCCCCTCAAGCTCCTCTCCCAACAGTACAGGCACACGAGGGGCTGCCGGGCGGCGTGCTACTGTCACTACGCCTGTTTCCCCCATTGAAAAATGTGGTCACAAAGCGGAGAGAAAGAAAACAGCATGAAGCGAACTATTTTTAAGCGGAGGCGTGAAAATTGTTTAGAAGGAGCTGCAAGCTGACAGTTGGAAAACACTTGTATCTTTGTTTCTGCGGATGGGTGTGTGCGTTCCCAAATGGTTTGGCTTCTTTAGGCACCTAAGGCTGCCGCATCATGAAGACCCCAACAGGCACAGCCTCAGCGGCTTGGTGCCTCCACCTTTTCTGCCCCTCAGCAGATGATGAAAAACAAAGTTAGGGTAACGAGAAACACAGAGCTGCTCATCCCATTTGCTCTGGTACTTGTACTTGTGGATTCTCTTGGGTGGTTTCCCTCCTTATCTGGACTCGCCATTAGCTGTGTTTATCACTTTTCGTGTTTGAAAAATCTGTAACTCCCACTTAACTGTTATTTACACTGAGATAACCAAAACAAAATTGAATCCCAAGTGAATTGCAAATCCGGGTCTGAGCCAAGCCACACAGGGTTTTACAGTGCAAACGCACAGTATCATACTGTTCATCTCAGATGCCTGGGTGGACCTAGCCCCCCCCCAAACACCCCCAAAACCAAAACCCAAAAAACCAGGCCCCTCCTGAGTAAATTTCAGGAATTCTCCCCTCCCCCAAAGGGTGCCATCCATCCCCCTTCTCCTTGCAGCCTCCCTGTGATTTTATCTGCCTGGGCTGGAGATTACATTCACATTGCACATTTGCATTATTCCTGCTTAAAGTGCAATGGTGAGGAATGATTCCCAGCCATATCTCTTGACAGGAAACACCCGGATTTGGAACCTTCGGCAGAGATCCTCGGATCTAGCAAGTGCCCAACCTGAAGACACCATAGCTGAAGTTTAGTGAAGAGCACATGGAAGAGAAGCGAGACCAAAGTGTAAAACACAAGCCACGGGGGAATCAGAGAATGACAGAGGATGGCTCTGGACTTCTAGTCTTGAAGTCTCAGGCTGAGCGGCCCCATCAGGCTACTTCCAGGGTCCTGGGTTGTTGTCAGTGTCCGTTTCTGCGTTCTGTTGCTGCACGTGCGTTCTGTTCCCAGCCTTAGGGATTTTCAGTTTTCAGGCAAGTCCTACAGGGGGTAGTGAAGTTACTTTCTGGGAGCTCTGTATGCACCGCGGTAAGACTTCTCAGCCATCCATTGCCTGAAGGCCTCCTTAGCTGCAGTTGGAAGTAGGGTGAATCTTCTGCTCTGAGCCCTAGGGGCTCCAGGCAACCGGACATTTTTTAATCCTCTAGGGGGCAGCACTCAATAAATAATTGTAACACCTCTTAGGGTAACACTTGGGGTTCCTTTACATGCAGGCATTCAACGTGCTTTGATAGATCAGAGAAGATTCAGAAGGAGGCTAGATCTCTGTCCACTCTAAACCAGACCCCACAGGCCCAGGGAGAGCTAGCAATTGCTTTTACCTATGACTTCCAAGGACTGTTGGAAAGTACAAATCCCATGTGCATCCATGGAAAATGAATCTTGAGGGAAATTAGCCAGACTTGGGGCTGGCTCAGACCTGTAAGCTTTATCTTTTGTCTAGACTGAGATCTCACAGGTTTGAGATCTCATTGGTTGAGTTTTGTGTTGAGGTGGAGGTAAGTTGTGAGTGTATATCCCTGACTTATTAGGTAGCCTGCCTCTTTAAATGCTGATCTCTGCTTCAGAAACTGTAGGGGCATGGACAGAAACACCCAACTGGCTGGCAAACAGCTACCCAGTGAAGCTGGCATTCCGAGCCGCGTCACTGACTCGCCTAGGCTGTTCCATGTCATTATCCTTAATTGTGAAATAATAATGATAGATAATCCCACTCTACATTCCATTCCTTTGACAGGAAGGGACATGGAGGAACATAAAAACAGATTTACAGATGATGCTAAAAGAAAGCGTGTTCTAGCCACACCCAGGGGGTGATTTGTTTCCAGCTAGGCTATTGTCCCAGTTAGACTGTCCCAGAACCTGAGGTGTGTCAGAATCACCTAGGGCCAGTGCGAAAAAAATCCATCTCCCAAGGCATCGTGATTCCTTTCTTGGGGGCTGGAATCTGGTGACATTTATTATTATTATTATTATCATCGCAAAGTCAGATATACAGAGAGGAGGAGAGACAGAGAGAAAGATCTTCCATCTGATGATTCACTCCCCAAGTGACTGCAACGGCTAGTGCTGCACCGATCTGAAGTCAGAATTCAGGAACTTCTTCCGGGTCTCCCACGCAGGTGCAGGGTCCCAAGGCTTTGGTCCATCCTTGACTGTTTTCCCAACCACAAGCAGGGAGTTGGATGGGAAGTGGGACTCCCGGGATTAGAACTGGCGTCCATATAGGATCCCGAAGCATGCAAGGCAAGGGCTTTAGCCAGCAGGCCACCACACCAGGACCAGCATGTATTATTTGTAGCACACATTCTAGGTGATTCTGCATGCAAAGATCCAACGAGTCAGCAGCCAGGGACCTCTGCTCTGGCTGCGTTATATTGACACAGATTTCTGCGAAGAACAACTGGATGTGTACTCCTCCACATCTCTGCTCCAGACACTTTGCAGACACAAAGCCAATGTTTCAGGTTACTGGGAAAACCATCCAGAATGTAGGTCAGAAAATGCCAGGACAGTGGGCTCCCAGCGTTACTTGGTGGCCCGTCAGCGATGGCAGAGAGCGTATTTGAAAAGCTGAACGCCTCCCCTCATGGGGATGTGAGGTTTGCAGGGGCTTGGTTGAAGCACCAGCTGATGGGGTCGGGGGAGCTGGACCCAGGATGTTTTCTAACCCACACAGCTGTTGATTGCTACTAGAGGGTTGTTTCAGGTAAGGCTTTCCATGTGTGTTTACTACATTGTTTATTATTATTATTATTATTAAGTGCTCATGGATGCATGACAATGTGGGATGTATACAAGCCAGATAGGCACTGAGGCCTGATCCCTTGCGAACATGGGAACAGAAATTTCTTGATACCGCGTAGATGCTACCAGTCTGTGCTGTATCCTCCCATCTGAGCCCTAACATTGACAAGCTCTCACCTAAAGCCGGGTGGGGAATGCAGGCCTAATCACATCTTAATCTGTCGTTTGCCACACTGCCTGAGTTAATGTTTAGCTGCATTTGTCTCAGAGGCAAAGCTTCTGTTAAAATGTAATAGGTCCTCATTTTTTTTGATTCCTTCTTTTGTTTGACGTTGAAATCCAGATTTCTGGTTGATGGTTTTTTTTTTTTTTCCTTTCCAGATTTCTGGTTGATGGAAAATGCTTTAAATAATCAGCATTTTCCTTTGTGGTCGACGTGGTCGAACACTGCCTACCAGCTTCTATTTGATATCTCCTTACGTGGATACTCTACCTCCTTGCAGGTTTCCATCTTTGCTCCAAATTGTGTGTGGACCGTGTGTGTGGCTTGTCTTGATCTCACACGTGGACTCTTTGTCTGAAGAGAGGGAAAGGTATGAAGGAACAACAGAGGCAGCAGAATGCACTACGCGCATGCACACATCCCTGGAGCCCCCGCATGCACACATCCCTGGAGACCCCGGCATGGGAAACTAAAGAAGCCAAGGTGTTCTTTCACTCCACTTGTGGCAGCAGGAGACACCTCTCCCTCGGTGACACTCAGTTTTAAACCTTTTTATCCTTTTGAGGCACTCGTGGTCTCTAAAATGACCCAGGCAACCCTGTGCTACAGAGCAGCACCCTCCAGTATGACTTTCTGCAGTGATGGAGAGAACTGTGTTTTTCACATGGTCTTTAAGCATCTGAGATGTGACTTATTGGTTTAAATTTAAGCTGTTCCATGTAGTAACTACCACAGTGGGTAGCTCAGCTTCATACCCACAAAAGACCAGGGTTGGGTAATTTCCACAGAAACCTACAAATATCCACACCTGTATAAATCTCTGTGGTCATTACTCTTGGCTACCTACAAGGCAACCCCAGCATCAGCAGAAACTGATGGCCAAGGCACCTTTTGAAATCACTCGACATTTAATTGGCTGAGGAGGAAAAGGGCTTCCTCGTATCATCATCCATCACTCGTGTCCCTTCTGTGCCTTCTTGGGCATCTGCCAGGAAGCAGGGACTTCATGGTGCTGCTGAAGCTCCTGGCTCCCACCCCAATCCTCCGAGGAGATCACCACAGGGCAGGAAGGAGGTCAGGACAGATCCTAGGTCTTTACTTGTCCCTTCATGTCCAGCGTTAAGTGCAAGCTCGAACAGCTTCTAGCCCTGTCTGGTTTTGAGTTTAGGCCAGGGTTGTTTCTGGACTCTATTCTCATTCATGAGTTGAACGCTGGTTGTAGTCCCCATTCAGTAGGTCATCCTAGGAAACTGGACCTCAGAGCAGCTTTGCCCCTGAGCCATCAGTGCTGGGTGGAGCTTACCTGGATGGTCGCTGTTTGCACTTGACACCTTTCCTCAAAAAGCAAGTATGTCATGGATTCTGGTAGATCTTTCAGAGGAGAAATTGTAGGATAAAGCCTTTCTTAGGTTACCCGCCCCCCCAGCCAAAAAAAAAAAACTATACTTGTCTGTCATAAGCAATGGCCAATAAGCTATTGGCAACTCCCCAGTGTTTATAGGAAATTTACGGTTATAATCTGAAATTTTTTGTCACTCAGGAAAATCGTATTTTGAGCTGAAAATCCTCATTCTTTTGCTGAATCCATTGACCCAATTTTCTTGGAAACGTGACTCTTCTATATATGAAAGTGTACACTGCTTTCTCTTTAATCTCATGCATATACACCCTACCAAAAGCATATAGATTTTAAAAAGATTTGTTTGTTTGTTTGTTTATCAATGCTATTTTCAAATTTGTAACCTGCGACTTATGGCACCTTAATTAGACATCTATCTGTCAGGTGATTGTGATGATGGCAATAGCTGTTAACTTGAGCATGACCGTCATGATGGAAAGGCATGAGTCACGGAGCTGACCTTTTGCTATTGAGGCTACTCCAGGGTGGGTTAATTCACACCCACCAGAGTCGTTAGTTCCCACTCTCCTCCTTCAGATTTACTCCTACACAGTTTACTGAGCTGCCAATCAAGACTCAGCATCCGGATGAGTGCACTGATGGGAGAGGGTTGCAAAGGTGCTTGCTTTCTGCAGGGACCAAGAAATGATTTATACAGCAGTCTTCAGATTTCTCTTCTATTTATTTTGTAAACTGAAAAAAAAGGGAGGGGGAGAGTAAGTATTATGTTCTATCTTAAAAAAAAAAAAATCAAACATTCAAACAGCGTGAAGAGGTATTTCTTGGAACTTAACTTCCCTCACCCTTCCAGGTCCCCTCCTCATCAGCCCGAGCTTTGAGTGTCCTTCCTGAGACAGGGACACAGCATTATTAGTAAAAAGCCAAGATGCAGTTCACATTTTTTTTCCTGATGTTTTCCAGTGTTTTTCTCTCCTACTTCCATTCTAGCCTGAAGCAGTGATGATCTTGGAAACCATTAGGGGGCAGCTGTGACCAAAAAAGGAGTCAGGCAAAAATGAAGAAGTGAAAACCTTAGATAAAGAGATGCAAAGGAAATGAAGAATGCTAAGGAGAAAGAACAGCAAAAGTGAGAACTGAAGAGAGAGACAGACAGAGAGAGATGAAATAAACACAAAGCATTACATAGTAAAAGGAAAACAGAGTGAGGTAATAAAGGAAAAAAGGCTACAGGAAAGGGAAGGGAGTGTGTTATGTGAGGGGCTATTTGGAAAGAACAGGGATTATACGATTTTTTTGTTCTTTTTAAGCAAATCTGTAGAAACTGAATTGACTCTAACTTAGCCGGAGTGAGGGGTTATCTTTCTGCATAGGCAGGCCTCCTTCTGCCTGGACTTCACTTCCCAGGTTCTGAGCATCTTCTGTCCTTGTGGGCTGTGATGGGGGAGGGGGGAGATGGGGAGTAGATGGGGGAACCCCCTTCGGTACATCTCCAAACTGCTCCAGGTACTTTAAGCCCTCAGAGAGATGGCAACATTAGCCTGAATACAAAGGTATAATTCTAGTTCCCCCAGCAGCAAGCAGTGGAGCTCAGCAAGGAGGGACAGGCTTTCATTTGAAGCTGCTGCCATAATCAAAGTGCTCTCAGGTGAGCCCCAGGCGAGCCTCCCCTGGTTTCAGCAGGTTAACTTCATTAAAGCTTCCAGCTACTGCTTTAATGTGTTCTGTACCACCCGCCCCCCTCGCCCCTTCCCCCTTTACATTAAGCTGAAACAAGCCCTCCTGGGAATTCTGTACACTGATACTTTGCATTGGGAATGGAATGCAGGGACAACATTTATGCTGGCAAAATAATACATGCGAAATTGCTTCTAGAGCACAATAAATAGGATCATGTCTCCTGAAGATCTTTCCTCTTTCTTATTCAAACCTCCCATTTCCAACCTTAAACTTTCAGGTAACCCCAGTTTAGAGTCACCAGGTAAGACAGGAGTGTCTAGAATTCCTCGATTTGCTAAATCTGATTCAGAAGACAGAATAGCCCCCAAGCTTTCCCAAACTTGCTACCCAATGCCACGCAACAAATCGAGTGAAAACATTCATTGGAAAAAATCGAAGGCTCCCAATTTCCCATTGCAGTTGTTAAACTTAGGCATTCATTGAAGACCCAGGTTAGGGACACTTTGGACATGCTGGGGTTATTAGGGAAAGTACCTGGGTTGCCTTTGTCCTAAGGAAGCCCTGGAGTCCACAAGGAGCTGGGTATTTGTCAACTGGGCACTGGAGGTTTGATGGGGTAGGCTGAGTGGCAGTATGAAATGTTACAAACAGAAGTCACTGTGTAGAATCTGGGGATCCCCTTGCAGTCTGAAGTGAGAAGTTCTCTTTAACTCCAACTCTCTTGTTCCCTTTTTCTATTGAAAGGATTCCTGCAGTTTCATTTCTAAGAAGCTGTAAAATTCATCCTGGAAACTTGGCCAAGTGAAAAAAAACCTTTCCGACCATAAGCAATTTGCTTTCCTTTAAACACATTTCCCAAAGTTAAATTGCAAATTTACTCAACTTCACATCTTTTTGTTAGAATTTTGCAAAAATCTAGGATGCACAGATATTTTCCACTGGGATTCCCATTTCATTTCATCATAATTTAGATGAAATAAATGTGATTTTGACTCTGAACACATCTGGAAGTGTGTTTTCCTCCTGCTGTATCTGACTAATGGATTATTGTAAGTAGGGTGGCTTCTACAACAACAATTTCTCCAACTCCTCAGCAAGTGGAAATATGCCTTAAGGGAGAGGAGTATCCTGGGGCAGGTCTGTAATGATATGAACAATGAGGTTAATATAAGAAGACATCTCACAGAGATCGCAGGGCCCTGAACCAGGATCAAGAGACGCATGTTTGGCCCTGGCTTTTGATTTGAAACTGCCTGTGTTAAGTCCTTTCATTTCTCTGGTATTATGATACCTTGCTCATAAAAGTCATGTTGTTATAGCCTGGTGCAATGGCTTATTGGCTAAATTCTCACCATGCAAGCACTGGGGTTCACTGGCTCATGTCCTGCCTGCTCTACATCCAGCTCCCTGCTTGTGGTCTGGGAAAGCAGTCGAGGATGGTCCAAAGCCTTGGGATCCTGTGTCTATGTGGGAGAGCTAGAAGAAGCTCCTGCTTTTGGCTTTGGATTGGCTCAGCTCCAGCCATTGCGGCCATCTGGGGAATGAACCAGCAGATGGAAGATCTTTCTGTCTCACCTTCTTTCTGTAAACCTGGTTTGCCTATCCAATTAAAAAACAATAAACCTTAAAAAAAAATAAAGTCATGTTGCTATTTCACAGCCATGGCCCTATGAAATTACTCAGGTGAACCTAACACATGTTATAAAGCAGGATCCAAGTTTGACTTACTGTGAGTAAAAAAAATATTTACTGATCATGTATTATATGCCCAATTCTGTTTAGGTGAATATCAGCCAGTGTGTGCAGTAATGATAGCTACTTCAAGAGAGTTGGTGGTGGGGGAGGAACTGGAAGACAGATAGTACTCAAGTCAATAATAAGCAGGATTTTAACCCAACAGGAAATCTTTTCTACTAACCAAGGTCCTACTATAAGTCAAGATCCCAACTCAAGCTCACTCATTCTCTCAGCTTTAAGAAAAGGGCTTGAGCTACTTTCATGTTTCTCAAAGTGTAGATTGAGATGCATTAGTGGGTTATGAAGTGAATATAGGCTACAATTAGCATTTGTAAAAATTACATAGAGTAGAATAAAACCAAAATATATATTGTTGCATAAAGTTTGTTTTTTGCATGCACATTCATGAATATGGATGTACTGGTAAATATATATGAGTATTCTTCACAAATGTAAAAAACAGAATTAAAGTAATTTCTTTTGGTGCAAAGATTTTTTTAGAATCAATGCATAGTTTTTAAAATAATAAACATTTACAAAAATTTTTGAAGACATTTCATATGCATGGGTTTCATTGTTTTGCATCAAAATAAATGTACTTATTACTGAATTTCATTTCCAATGATGTCTCCTTATATGTTCCATGCACACGTAATGAACACAATTGCTCCAGGTCACAGCTCTAATGTGTTTCTTGTGAATTGCAGTGGATTAGATGACTTCTAAAACATTTTTAAGCTTTTAAATACTGATTCTATTAAAATTTTTATAGCCAGGACCTGGTGTAGCACAGTTTTTGCTTGACTTTACTTATTACTAAGTAAATCTTGTTGCTTGTCAGAGAATCCTGGTGTTTAATTCCATTGCAGGTACTGTGATTGGTGTTTGATAAATGCTTTTGTAATTAATGGAAATGAGATTTATGCACTGGATCTTAAGATAAATATAGCAACCTAATATGAATCATCAAATAAAATTTACTAGCAGATGTATCAAAATAATTTATTACATTTCCCCAAATGCCAGCCTCACAAAGCAAATTCAGAATTATGTTGCCTTTGCTTCTGATGGTACTAGGAACTGTCTTGTCTCAGAACTCTCAGAAACTCTGCTAAGATTAAAAGAAAAAAGATAAAAGAGGTTAAAATGTTCTTCTCCCAAGTGGGACATACTGCCTTCTTTTCAGTTACAACTGTAATTCAATAAACTTATAGACTGCTTAAAGAAAGAAAAGAATTAGTGGGGGAAATTTTTCTGTTTTTTTCCCTTGGGGAACCAGACAATTCTTTCTAACAATTCCCCTGATCTTGTTGGTTTTCATTTTCTGAGTCGTCTTTTAAAGAATGGCAGGAATGTCACTTTAACACAGATGTTGTCCTTAGCTATGGACTAAGTAGCAGGCTTCTCGGGCTCGTTTCTGAAAGTTATCCATTTGATTAGAAGTACATGAGCCTAGTCTTCCATCCTCCCTCTCTGGGAACCCTTGTTGATGCCCATTAGAAAGAGAGAGCTGCAGCGAGGAGATCCCATCAAGGACTCAATGATACATCATTTTTAAGAAAGTTGAGAGTCAATGGACCCTGCTCAGAGCCCCGTGCACATGCCCATGAGTTAATTTTCAACTCCATTTCCTTAATTGCCTGAAAATCCACGGACAGGCAAATTGACTGAGATTTCAGGATTACTCCACACACTTTCTGTGTCCATCCTCTCCTGCTTTCCCAAAAGCAAGGCAGATACACAACCCCAAGAAAAAGGCTAGCAAGGCAGCATCCCAGTCAATCAATCTACACCTGTTGACCCACACATGTTAATGGCCACCGGAACGTGTCCATTCAGCCATCCCTTAATTCGCAAAAGATATAATCTTGAGACCAAGGCCAAGTTTTTGTGACACAAAGTCTATTATGAATGACCTAAAAGAAGGCATTGTTTGAAGAGTCCATAACTTTAAAATAAAGTCTCTAGAACTGATTAGTCCTTTAAGTACATTTGCATAGAACTGTTTGCAAAAGTCCTTGAACCGCTGCATAGACTCGTAGCTGTAAGGATCACCAAAGCTCTTTGCATCATTTATAGACTTTATTGTAGTGTTGCTGTTATCATTTCTCCTTTTACTAGTGATTGATTTGCCAGGCTAGGGATATTCCGCGTACTCACATGCCTCTTTGCTGACTGTAAGTCATATCGAATGCACACCCATCCCATGTGCTTTCCTAAGTAGTTCCAGTTTCCGTAGATTTTCTCCTTGCATAATCTCTCATAGAATCATTTTAACAATGACACTCAGTGAAGATATGCTAAGATTCATAATTTCTTTTTTTGGTAGCTGGAGTTAACAGCACTCATCATTCTGAGCTATGACACCCAACTGACACTGAGAGATGGCAGCTTTCAGTTAAACAAATGCAAAGCTGTATTTAGGCTCTTTTGCAACGTTGTGATGGGAGGAAATCAAAGACTCTTTTACTGCTATTTTTAAAATACACACCAGAGCAATTCTATCAGCAATATTGTTACTATAGATTTTGTATTTTGATCTTTTATGTTTAAATGTAATATATTGGAGGAAATTCAAATTCAATGAAAATGATTTGAAAAAAGTTTGAAGAATTGTTGTTGTGACATTTGTTAGGATAAATGATCTCTGGGGCCCAGCATGATGGCTCAATTGCTAACTCCTCACTTTACAGGGGCCAGGATCTCATACGAGCACCAGATTGTGTCCCAGGTACCCTACTTCCCATTCAACTCCTTGCTTGTGGCCTGGGAAAGCAGTAGAGGATGGTCCAAAGCCTTGGGACCCTGTGTTTATGTGGGTGAGCTGGAAGAAGCTCCTGCTTTTGGCTTTGGATTGGCTCAGCTCCAGCCATTGTGGCCATTTGGGGAGTGAACCAGTAGATGGAGAATCTCTCTGTAAATCCGATCTGATTTTCCAATAAAAGTAAATAAATCTTTAATAATAACACTAAAAAAATTTCTTGGATTGTCTTTAAAGAGAAAGGCAGGACTTTTGTTTAGAGACAAAGGAGACACAGCCAGCGGACAGAATGTCAAGCCTGGGATCCCAACTAAATGTTTCAGACAAGATCCTTTACCTTGTGCTAATTACAAAATAAACAGATCCCCCCTCCTGCACTAGAGTTGTTTAGACAGCCTTTCTGCCCACGGGTCTAGGGATGTCAGTTTATTTATCACATAAAGTGTTGTTGGCCAAGCAGGAAATTACACTCTAAACTTCTGACACCAAGTTCTGTACTGTCACCACAGGGTAATGCTCAGATCCCAAACTTCAGCACCTCCCACATTTCCCCTGCCTGGTCTATTTACTCACTTGCTTGCAAAAGAATTCAGGATGACTCCAAAAGAAATCTTGCAACAGACCGTAAATTAGCCTCAGCTGGTCAAACCAAGGGCTGTCACCAGGATGTTGACTTAAAAAAAAAACAGTTGTCACCACCATGTAAAGGACATATCACCCAACATTAGCATTTACAAAGCACCTCACTGCTCCTGGGAGTGACTGGGGTTGTGTAAAGAGACTACTTTCCTCCAGTGTGCCTGTGAAGACAGACACACTAGTCAGGGAGTAAGGGAGGATGCCCAGGCATGGTGGGCACAGACAGTGCGTTGTGCGACCTGGAGTGATAGCATGTCTATTGGCACTGAGGGCTCTTCCAGGAACAAGCAGAGGAGGGTGTAGTTGGGTGGAGAACACTACTGAGTATTACCTCTAAAACTCCAATCTAAATAGGATAGTTGCCATTTCTTGTTGTAAAACTTTCTCAAAAACCAGAATATCTAAATTATCCTTTTGTAGGTTTGTTGTCTTGTTTAAAAAAAATGACTATGTATAGCTCAGGGTGGGAGCATGACAAAACAGGAAGAATGTAGCTTTGGGGGATAGGAGATCTATTTTTTGTCATTCCCTGGCCTTGCAAATACTCAACTCTCTGGGTTTCTGATTCTTTCCCTATAAAGCAAAGAAACCCAGAGTTGATGGGTCTCCATGGAAGACTGGTCCTGTGTGTCATGAACTCATTTGTGGAGAGCCCTCTCTTATTGTGTGTTCTTTCACGAGGTGCCTGGATTCATGATTGCAAAAGACTGATTAGACTTTGGAAGAGAGTGTGACAATTTATTGCTTAGTGCCTGTGTTCCAATGCACCTGGATCAGGCACAGGAGCAAGAATGCAAACAGCATGAGGGGCAAAGGTCATGACATATTTGGTTGGAAGCCAGGACTAACTAGGTGCACTGGGATCTTAGTTTGAGCCAGTAGTAAGGTCCCTTCTTATTGGTGTGTCCTGTGAGTCACACACTCAGGAGCTGGTAGCCCTTTGACTGATTCGTCAGGGAAACCTGGATGGATTTGGAATTTTCAAACTTTGGCACTCTTGAAATTTGATAGAACAAAAAGTGCAAGCCCTCATACTTGCAGCCTTGTTTGTAGATAGTCTAGATATGCCATTTTGTGACAACATCTCGGGCTCTGTCCATGAAATCTGTGGGGGAATAAATAGTGTACCAAAATCATGCACTTGCCACTAGGAACAGTTTGATGCTGGGAGCAGCACAGTTGGACATGGGACTTTGGAGATCTCATCTACACAGGGATATGTTCCAGAGAGTCATAAGGAAACAGTAAGATGTTTGGAAAAGAGGAAAGAAGTGGGGCCAGGAGGAGAGGGTTTGGCGGATATGAATGGTATTCTGTGGTTTAGAGGAAGAACTGACTTTACTTAGTTGCTGCCATTCCGGGAGAACCAATAAACCAACATCATCATCACCACACACACACACACACACACACACACACACACACACACACACACCAATCTCTGAGAGAAAACAAAAGCAAATTATCTCCTGGGGTCAAACATTCACTGTATCTTTCTTTTTTCCAAGGTAAGGAATTGAGGTATTGCCATTACCTAACCCAGCAGAGGAAACAGGGACGGTGAGAACAGCTGTGGCCTGTCTCTGGGCCCAAGAGGTAGAGAGAAATTACAGCCCGGACTTGAAGGGAGGGTAGGAAATTTGAGAGAACATAATAAGGAAGATTCTCTCTCTCTCTCTCTCTCTCTCTCTCTCTCTCTCTCTCTAAGAGACACAGAGACAGAGAGAGATGGAGAGGGAATGGTGTAATGTGAAGAAGGGGCAAGGCGACTGTGGAGCATATTCAGTTGTCAGTAGATATAGCACCAAGCCCCATTTCCAAGATCTGTACAGTGAAGTTCTGTGGTTGTTCAGAGCTGGGCTAAACATGTTAAGGGGTGGGAGTTTGGTTGGATGCCAGCAGGGATACCTATGTTCTATATCAGAAACTGGGCTCCAAACTGGGTCCTACTTCTAATTCCTGCTTCCTGTTAATGTATCCTTTGGGATTCAGCAAGTGATAATGTAGCTACTTGGGTCCCCGCCAGCCATGTGAAAGACCTTGATTTAGTTCTTGGCTGTTGTGGGTATCTGGGGAGTGAGCCAGTGTGTGGAAGTTCTAACTTTTAAACTCTCAAATAAATAGATTCTAAAAAAAAAAAAAAAAAGCCCATTCTTCTGTGAGAGCCTTCCACAAACTACTATGCCACCAAATAAGACACTTCTAAAAGTTTGATGTAAATGGAATTAAGACATAAGTTTAATTTAGCGCAAAATATTTTGAAGCCCACGTATGAAAGAACATTCCAAACATTTATGAACAAGCCAATGTTGGACTTAGCAGTGAAGATGCTGCTTGGGTTGTATTGCAGTCTATGTCAGAGTGCTTGGGTTTCAGTGCAAACTCAGCTCCCAATGTCAGCTTGCTGCAAGCTGTGAGTCAGGGGGCTCAGATTCCCATGGAGGCAATCTGCATTGACTTGCTAGTTCCTGGTTTTCACAGTCCTGAACCGAAAGACTGGAGATATCTCTTTCCCTCATCTCTACCTTTCGAATGAACTAAAATACATTTATAAATAGAAAGTTCATGAAACAATGTTGTATAAAAAAATGAGGCAAAAATTTTCATTTTTTTGTATTAAATACACATAATGTTAGGTTCTATTTTTTCCATGAAGTTTGTAAAGTGGGCCTAGTAGTTTGTTTCGCTTGCTGCAAAAGGACTGTATATTGCTCCCCCATGCTCCTCTCTAAGCATGAGTGTGTATCCTCGCCACTTCAAACATCAGCTGTGGCTAAGTGATGTGGCTTGATTATTAAGATAGGAGTGAGAGTGAAGTGTGTCCCACTGTGTGGACAGTGGGGAAGCCAACAGAGACTCAGTCATGGCCATGGTGTTTTTGCCAATGTCACGAGAACGGCACATCCGGGGCTGCCTGTCTGTCTGGATCCCAGCAGGAAGAGATCGTAAGAAGTAGAGTTGGCCTGAGGCTGAGCTACGCTTGTGTGTGCTGTGGTTGGGTGCAGACTTTGTGCAGTCAGCCCCGAGGCAGAGATCACGGCAGCCTGGTCCAGAGAATGCAGACGAACACAGCAACCTTGCATTCTATGGTTGTTCTCTGTGATTCTGGAACAAAGTGATCAATGGTGGCACTTCCTACAGTTTTGAGGGAGGGTGTGTCATTGGTCCACATGCAGTAGGTTTGGAGAGATGAGGCGTCCATCATAGCCAGCAGAGCACTGCCAGCTCAGTCTCTCCCTGCATTTTCCTCTCCTCCAGGGAAAATTACTCCTTCTGGTCTGAAGAGAAGGACCTAGCACCTTTCTCAGAGTTACATATTCTTTGAAGCAGAAATAACTCAGGGAACTGATCCATGAAAGGGGAAGTTGGGGCAGGAGGATTCTATAGAGGAAATCCAGGAAATTCCGCTGAATCTAAGTGCGGCTGACCCTGACATGAGCACTGTGTATCTGGAGGTGGAGCGGTGGTGTGACACTGGCGTGAAGTGAGACAATGTCTCATCCTTTCCTAGAAATCTTCAAAAGGACAAAATCTCAAAGAGGAACCAGAAGTGCCCAGGAATGAAAGTGTCTCCTGTGATGGTGACAATTCAAAATTTATCTAGGTAATTGGTGGTAGAGTTTTCTGAGATGGATTTGAGCTTTTCTTCACCTATTGGGAAAAAATGGCCAAGCTTTATGTCATAAGCAAGGACTTCTCTTCAGCTATTTCATGAGAATGATTTTGTGTGCCTTCACAGCAGGCTATTCTAGAGCTGAGGTAGCTATATCGCTCTATTTCATTGGACATGATAGGATTGGCATTATACTGGATGACTAGTAGGCTAAATGACCTCTTGAATACTCCCAGCACAAATGGATTAAAATTTATTATTTAATAGTATGGTTCATGACATTAAAATGTCAGAATTGACTTAATTAGGGCAAACAAGTAGAATTAAATCTGAAATGCAAACATACCATTTTATCCCATTTATCCCTGTAAGCCACATCAAATTATTTATGGGAATGAAATGGCGTATAAATAAGTGAATTAATGAATATACAAATGAATGTTATGTCACAGTCTAACACTACATCCAGACTGAAAATCTGAGCCACAGAAAGTTCAGAAAGGTATAAGAACATCAAGCTGAGACCTTCAGTCATAGAAGAAATTCTAAAACATTTGGGTAAGGAGGGAAAAGGACTGACAGAATGTACAAGGTTTGTGAGTTCCAACACTTCTACAAAATGCTGGAAATGATTCAAAGGAAAAGTGAGCCGTGAGGTGGTTCTCAGCAGGCACCCGTGCATTCCAGTGAGAGACGTGCCAATGCTGTGGCTTTACATTAATTTCCTTTTCATCCCAAATGTTCATTTGTGTCTCGTGAGAGGTTTCTTTCCCCCAGTGTGACAAATTTTCCAATTTCGTAATGGAAGCAAGAAGAAAATGGAATTCTCTTCACAGAAATCCATTTTTGCAGCCAACTTTCTTGAGATGCATCTATCCCTGAAAGCAATTTGCTTCATCCGCGCGTAGATGCAGCAGAGGTGTTTAGGGCCGGTTAAGTGGATCACTGACAATTTGCTCTCAGAGCTTGTGGGAGATTTAGCAGCAAGGCCTTGAGGGGAAATGTGGTAAGGGCTTTTCTCTCCCAGCCCATCTTAAACTGTGCTGAGCTCTATTTTCAGGGAAACAATTTCACTGGAGTAGGTGGTATGTATGGGTATGTAAGGGACATGGGGAACTGACAGTGCTCCCACACATCAAGACACAATTATCAGGGAGCCTTACTCTATCTCTCCAGCATGCTGAGGAATCTAGCTGTCAAACTTCAGCAAGGTGCATGGAGGACAAATCAACAGACAAAAGTGGTATTGGTGTATGTTCCTGCCATAGATGATAAAGTCACTGAGGAGTTGTAAGAACACAGAAGAGGTTGTGTAATAGGACTAAAACTCATGCCTGGCTGGCTTCTTTTCCTGGCTGACATCCCAAAACTGCCTCTTTGGGGGCACATTTATGATTATGTAATGGCAAAACAAAGGCGTTTGGTAGTAAATTAAATCAGTTTTATACTATGTGGGTGACTTGTATGCCGTGTACACAGCCAGGCTTTGACGAGTTCCAGTGTGGGAAATTCACTTGAAGCATAACAACTGGCTCTTCTCCATCTGTTCATGTTCCCCATTTGACTCATCTCTGCTCTTCAATTCTTCTCTGACTTGTTAGTAAGTTGAGCAAATTTCAAAGCTATATGAACTAAATGCACGTAGGTCAGAAATTTACCTTGTGTGAGACCTCAGAGGACATAAAGGCTTGTCTTGCCATGGGAAATGTTTCATCTACTGAACTCAAGAGCAAGCTAGCTTTCTCTTGGCAGAAATGGGACACAAATAAGGCTCAGATGAGAGTTGATGGAGAAGAAAATTGGTGAAAAAGTAAAAGTTTATGCTCAAAAAAGTAGGGACCAAAAACCCCTCCAAAGGAACTTGATAAAAATAAATGTGCGCAAAGGTAACAAATCAGAAGAGTTACTGACGAGTACAAAAAAGAAGAGCTCTGTGATTCTTCGCCAAAGCTAGATGGGCTTCTGCGGTCTTGTTTTGCTGGTTCCCATCAGTGTGTCAGGATGCCAGCTGTGACTTGCCATGGTGGTGACACACCATGACAAGCTTTCATGAGTGTAGCACCTGCTGCCCAACCCCATAGGACAATGATTCAATGTGCAGAAGCATGCACCTGAATTTTTCAGGCAAAACAATCAAGAAGAATATGAAGTGCCATCTTGTGTAGTTGAAAGGAGTTGACCGTGTGTCTACACACCCACAGTTGAATGAGTACTGTAGAGCAGATTTCATTCATAATAACACTGGCTTACATTTATTGCATACTTATTATGATTCAGAAAATGGTCTAACCACTCTACTTGCTATGGTCTGAACAGCATTTGGCTCTCAATCTCATACAGACATTTAAAACCCATTAAGTCATCAGGCAATGGTGCTGAATGCATGGGAATTTAATTTAATTATGGTGTTTAGGAGCTGAGCCCAGTGGCAGGTCCTGAGAGTCCTGGGGCATGCCCTTGGAAGGTCATGCTGGTGAGAGAGCTGGTTTTATAAGCCTGAGTCTGACCCTTCCAGCTCACTGCTTCTGACTGTAAGATCCTTCCTTCACAAGTACTCTGTTCTTGCCATCCACTGCCCTCTAAACTGTTGCCTAAAAAAGGAGATCACCCAATCTTGGACTGTAAACTCCTTAAACAGCGAGCCAAAATAAATCCATTTCTTTATCAGTTGGCTCTATCTATATTTTATTACAGTAACAAGAAGCTGACTAATGCATGAGTGGTTCATGCTAATTGAATTCTCACAATAAGCCAGCAAAAGTCTACTTTTTCCCTTTTTGCTGGTAGAATACAGACAGTGATAACTAGTCCAAAATCAGAGAGTGTTAGCATTCAAACCTTAGGTCAGTAGGCTCCAGGAATGGAGCTCATAACCATGTATCCTAGTACACACGTATACCAGTTCAGTCAACAAAAAGCTTGTGAATGAATACTCATACACACACACACACACACACACACACACACACACACACACACACACACACAAGTTATGCTCGAATGCTTTGGCCTCATCAGTTAGATTGATATTAGAATGAAAAGTTTCTTTTTTCATGCCTTAGCTTTTCCATAAGTCTAGCGAGCAGTAGGCCACAATCTATACCAATTTACCAAATCCAAGCTCCCATCCTGTGTTAGGCAGTTTACTAAACACTCAGGGATTCCAATCTTGTTTCCCAAAAGTTCCCAAACTGTTCATAGAATAATACCTAATCCTTCCATGAGAAATATGATACAGATGGCAGAGTAATGAGATGACGATGAAGGCCTTTATTGGAGTAAGGGTAGAAGACAGGGGAAGCCCAGACAGAAACATACCAGAAGAAATTATTGATTGACAATATTGAGGTATAGATAGGGGGAATGCACCCCAAACTTCTAATGTTACTCCACTGCTGATGTGATGTAGCCAATTATATTTCATCCTCAAAAGCGGGTCATTTCAAATCACTTTTTTTCTGTGTGCTTCATCAGCATTATAAAAAGAATTCATAAGGCACCTGTTTTGTCCATTTATGGAATTTGGGATTTATGTGGTTCATCTTCCCCCAAAGATGAGTTGATAAATTTTGTCTGTTCTTTACTGTTGACAGTATTAGTTAAGCCTTTTGCTTTTGCAAGGAATAGATATTCAACTCAATTTAGCTTAAATGGAAGGGGATTCATTGACTCATATAATCAGGAAATTGGGAGTCAAGGCACAGCTCGATTCAGGAACACAAATAATGTTACGAAGGCATTGAACCACTGCTTCCTACTAGACACGTGCTCCAAGGAATCATCTCTCTCCAGCCTCAGCTTGTCTGTCTGTTGACATTCCCAAGCAGGCTTTGTTCAAGTGGAGGCCAACTCACATTCTATTAGCTTAGCAATTTAAATGGGAATAGAATTTCTCTCTCCCAACAGCCGCATGTCAATCATTGAAATAACTACAACTGGCTTGATTTGATGTCCATCCCTTAGGCCAGAGACTGGAGAGTTCTGATTGGCCAATGTGGATCATTTGTCCACCTCCTATGAAGGGTATGGGTGAGATTCCTCATGTGAGAGCCCAACCAGGCCTAGGTAGTGTTAGGGAGGAATTCTTCAATGAAATCAGGAGGCCAGATTTGGGGTGGAGGGAAGTACAAAAAGCTACACTGATAATACCTAAATTTCAGTCTGAGCTCTTCATCTTCCCTATCAGCGCTACTTTGCATACATAATACTCATGCCACAACTTAGACCTGGCCACCTTTGGGTGCTTTATGACTGGGAACATAGTTGTCTTCCTGTAACTGCAGGTTCTTGGGACAATTGGCTCCTGTTATTAGCAGCCACTTAACACCTGTACAGCTTTCATGGTGAACAAGGTGCTCCCACCTCAAAATGATCGCATGCCACCTGCACAATGTGAAAGTACATAGGATATCCGTCACTATGCCCAGTTTATGGACGCGGAAATGGGGCCTCAGGTTGGAGGCTTGTTCAGGGTAGCTGAATGATGGTGAGTGGTCAGCTCAGCTGGGAACCCAGCTCTTTGCATTTGAAGATGAACATGAAAGAAATCAAGAGTTTTCTGTGAACTTAAAGAATATTTCTAAGGTCATGGGTAACTTCAATTACAGTTGGAAATTAGGATTTTTTTCCTTCCAGGTTTTCACAACTAGAAAACTGTTGGCCTCCTAAAACAATTCCTTTCCTTAAAACCCGTCCAGAACCAATGCCAGAAAGTTTTGTTTGAAAATACATTCACTAAAGACTGTGTAAGCTGATTTGTCTCCAGCACATTCTGTGCCTTTGCAATGCAGCACACGCTCACTTGATTTTCAAGCTCCTTTCAAAAGGAGCCAATGCGAGAGATTTGTGCTTATGAATTACTGTACTTGTCACGAAAGAATCCCAATACATGCTTGAGATGTTCACACAGCAGATGATCACACAGGTTCCATATTGCTAGCACGGTGTCTAACTGTCCATCCTAATGCCATTACAATGTGGCTAAAGGTCAGTTAACCTCCTTTGGTGGCTCTGCAGGTGGTGGTGGGGGAAGGGTACATACAGGCTCTAGAATTGCAGGTGCTCACGAATAGAATTAGGATGTATAGTCAGAACACTGTAACTGGTTACAGCCGCTAATTGAGCTCTCATCTGACAAGTACCTTATTGTTTTATGGGGTGGGGGGAGTAAGTAGTTTGTACAAGGGAAAAAGAAAAACAAAACCAGCAGCCCAGACAATTAGGGACCAAACAAAATTAAACAAGTCCTTATGGCCATAGGTATTGCTGTATAGTGCTTTGCCTTGCATTGTTAGCGACTCATGTATTATGAAGCACTTAGGGATGCTCACTAATGGAGTCTCGCTCCCTCCTGGAGGGCGACTTGAACATTAGACTCTGTGACTCAGGTGCAGAAACTCGCCTGTATTAGTGCAGGCGCAATGATGCTTTCCTCTCTCACAGGGGTGTAGTGAGGCTTAATTAATTGTTGGGGAAGCACTTTGAGATTCTGGGATGAAAGGCACTATATAATGATAATAATTTGCATCGACAAGGTACATTTCTTCAGTGGAATTCCAAGCACTTTAACAAACATTAATTAATCCTCATAACACGCTGGCAAGGCAGGTAAGTTTTCCCAGGATACACTAAACAAATCCACCATATTATGAGTAGGAGGGAGGCTACAGCGATGAACTTACTTTATTATTTATTCTTCGTGGGAACTTCCAGAGAGGCTGACGTGAACCCTGCTTCCCATTAGTCCAAACGATCTGCCATCCGCTTTTGATTATCCACCAATATCGTATTCTGCTGGAGCGCTAATCATTCTGCTTGGGGGACACGTGTCTCAGCAAAGCGAGTCATAAACAGCTGTCATTCCAATGGGTATTAATGCCTATTGTCTCCCATTCTGGAACTCCATGCCTCCCCTATGCAAAGAGAATGGCGGGGGGAGCAGGCGACATCTGTTTCAAAGCCCGACTGTAGCCATGTTGGAGAGAATGCACCTGGCTTCCACTTTCAAATCCTTGTATCCAGTGACCTCTTGGCTCTTCTTTGTTGCCAGCGGATTTATCCTTTACATTTTGGCTTTTCATCTCCATGCTGCATGGGAGAATGGAATTGAGGGGGTGGGTAGGGAGGGAGTTCTGGGCTGCATACAAGCTGGGCACCCAGCATTCCTAGCAAGTCTCTTCTATCTTGGAAGTACAGAAGCAGCTTCCTAACCCCAACCTTCCCCAGCTCATGCATGCCTAAAAGGCAGAAAAGAGCCTCCCACCTGACAAACGACTTCAGCGTGCTCAGCTGAGGATGGATCGGTCCTGAGTGGCTCTGCGGTGTTACCTGGCTTTAATTTCACATGTGTTCGCTGACTGCAGCTTTCCAGATTGAAAGGGGAACGAGCAAGAGTGGAGCAATGTGCTTGCTCCCTTTTCCTGTCCCAGCCAGCCTCCTGGGGCTGCAAGAGCATGGGCCCAGCGCTCACTATGTTGTGCAGAGCAATGCCAGCGAGATCTACGACCAGACGGGCAGTCTCCTTCAGGGATGGCCTCTCAACGAAGGGACATGGGGTAAGCGGCAGCCTCGTCTGAGCTTTGGTTTGACCAAAGGCAATTACTGAGAGTCAGCCCAACTCTCTAACCTTAGCCTTCTTCTTAGTGGAAGGAAAGGGCTGGAATAGGTCATTTGCTGAAGCACATTTTAAACTCTAATTTTCTATAGGGGGTTCACTTGCAAAGAATTTCTCCATTTGTATCTCTCTGTGAAGCCTTTAAAGGGACACACTGATCCTACCTGCCCCTGAGACGCTCCAAGTTGAAAATGGTCCAAGGTAAGTAGGGCGTCTCTTCTGTTTACTCTAAGATACTCAATGAAGACATTTTTTGCCCCCTGTACCATAATGTGCAAAAAGCTGGGAAGTGCTACTCTGCTGACTGCACCCCAAGTGAATAAACTGAAGCAAGCAGCATTCAGGTAACTTGCCCTTTACTGCATAGTTATTGAGTCTGCCTGATATTCTGAACCACTACACCTGGAGTCCCTGAGACTGGCTCCTCCTTAGTATGAGCATCCCCCTTCCCCTGCTTTTTTTTTTTAATGCCCATGTCCAGGTCCACAGACTGACTTCACTAACTGAAGGTAGGGTCAGGATGTTGAGATTTTCTTTTGGTTTCCCAAGAGGTTCAGATGTGTAGCCAAAAGCAAGAAGTACGTGGAGAGGAGCTGGAGGGGAGTGGTCTTGTGGTATTCTCGGCGAGGAAGTAAATTCCAGGCCCTCTCATCTGATGGTGGTTTTTCTCAAAAAAGGCAAGCTGGGAGAACCAAAGCTGGGCTACCAGGTGAAAGAGATGCCCACCACAGGCTCTGTTCCAACACTCTGTGACAGAAGCATGCTACGCATCCTTGGGGAGGTCAGCTCTGCTTCCCAACTGTGGTATACCACCAGCCTCCTGCAGCAGGAGTTTGAAAACCTGCAATCAGAGGGTTTTATCTTCAAATTAAGGGCAGACAAATAGGCCCACATGGCAAAGAGATTGCCACAAGTTACACAGCTGATAATTAGTGGAAGAGCCAAGGCCCAAATCAAGTCTTTCAACCAAATTCCAGTGCTTACTTATGAAATTGAGCATGCTGAATTAAAAAGTGTATGAGTTAGTATTTGGTTAGTTTAGTTAGTATTTGCATGGCCTTGAACAAAGCATTTGGGGTTAAAGTAGAGATTATATCAAGTATTGCCTGTGCAAGTGCCAAGCACACCACCTACTAGTAACAGGTGCTCACTGAATGTTCTAGGTGGGGGACAGGAGTGGGAGAGGTAGAAACAAGAAACATTAACATTGAATCACAGCTCTTACGTAGTTGTTTTGAGAAGCAGGGAGAACTGCGCCACCCGGTTTAAGTTCAGAAGGTTTTCCCAGGCCGAAATTATAAAGGTTATATTTAGAAGAAAAAGAAGAAAAACAAAAACCAAAACCACAATAGTACCAAGTAAGTTTAGGAAGTTCATGTATGGTACTCTGGTCGGCTCATGGAGATCATGATGTTAAATTCTCCTAGTGATGGTATCACCTTTGAGTATCAATTCCGAGATATGTGACTCTAAACAGATGGCAAATTGGTTGCTTAAGATTCCAATAGGCGGGTCTAGGGTGTTAGCTTTTACGCACAATCAAATCCTTTTTTCGGGATAAGTTTGCTGCAAAGCCAAAATAGCAGACGCAGTGCTGTACCTAGGAGGTGCTTTTATTCCATCAGGGTGGAAACGGGAGCAGGGGGTGAGTCGGGGAGAGAATAAGAAAGGAAATGTTTCCTGACATGGTGGGAGGATGAGGCTATAAAGGAATGTGGAACGGGCAAGACAAGGAGAATGGGGAGAGCTGGGTGGGGAAGCTGCCCCATGAGCAGGGCGAGAGAGGAAGTGAGAAAGTAGATGGGAGGGCGGCCATGAGGGATTGATGGCTAGGATAGGATTGCTGAAGTTGCAGGGGATTAGAAGAGGGGCAGAGATGAGGGGGACGGGCCACAGGAGATTTCTGGGTAGGGTTGTCAGGTACAGCACCATGAGGTTACAGCTGATTGGTGGCCAACACAAATGGTGTGAAACTTGTGAACCATGGGAAGAAGCAGGAAATGGCACTGGGGCCGAGATAGTAGCATTTCATCAATCTCTGGAGCACTATTTGAACCATTTCTCACACAGGTCCTTCAATGGATAGCTTCCATACCCATGCTTGAAGTTCCCAAATCTCTCTATTAATTTTTAGTCTAGGCAGGTGGCAGAACAATAACATGTTTCTGTCAAGAGGTATTGACAAATCAACTTGGACATCCCTCACTTGAGAAAATGAGGTGATGGCAAGGAAGGAGGAAACCGTAGTTTACATTGAACCTTGATTCTGATGGGACTTGAGGACCATATCACATAGATTCAAAGATCCATCAGCTATGAAAGGTCAGACAAACCTCAGTTTAAAAACTAAATTGAAAACAGGGGAATGGATGGAGGACATGGATATCTGTGGTACAGCAGGTTAAGCCTGACTTGGGGGTGCATTCCGTATCAGAGTACCTAGTTCCAGTTCTGGCTCCTCCAGGTTTCTGATTCAGCCTCAGAGGACCATGTATCTGGTCAGAATACCTGATCAGGAGGAGAATCTACCTCTCTGCCATCCTCCTCAGCGCTGTTCTGATTGTGTGAAATCCATTTTTAGCAACACGGTTCAGACAAAAAGTGAAATCATAAAATGGGTGGCTAAGTTGGAAAAACCCAGGACTTGTGTCAAGGGCTTCTTGATTTTAAGACCCAATCCCTTGGGAGCGCCCAAGGCAGTATTTCAGTTTGTGCTGCAAGAGGGTGTTCCTATGAAGCCTTTGTTTCTTCAATAGGCACAAGAATGGAAGGATCCAAAAAGGGAAGGCACACAGCAGAGAGGGTTTGTTGGCAGAAACAGAATGTGAGGATGGAGAGTCTCCTTTTTCTTCCTGCCTCCACTTGTAGGAGATCTATCACAGCCTGAAATCATACTGGCCTTGGTAATTTAAAGTCCCTTCCTGGTAGGGGGAAAAGGAGTAGACAAAAGGCCCTCTTAGCTGGGGCTGTGGACAGCAAGTTCCAGATGAATGGGCATTGGCAACACAGGACAGTGTGTGAGGCAAGCCTAAGAAGGGGTGGGGAAAGAAAAGAGCAGGCCTTTGGATGTGTCTGCTCCAGTGCTAGCCCTGGAAACAATTAGTGCAGAGTACAGAGCAAAGGGAAGCCAGGACGGAAGGAATGACAGTCCTCCCAGACTGGGTGACTCACCCAGCTTCTGGGTTTGTCTCCTTATGCATTTGAATGGGCTGGGGACAATAGAGGGTGTGAGCTTGGAGAATAAGGGAGACTCTGGCAAGAGCTTCCTCTTGTCTGGAAGGGATGCCTTTTATCCTCCTGTTTTTATGGACCAGGGCTTATAATTCCACCTTTGGAGGCCACAAAGCAATCTCTTTGTCCCTCTATTGTTCCGGTATCTCTGTAAAGCTCTGTGTATGCATTCCAGGTCCCTGGATTGTTTGCTCCCAAGGAAATCTCCCTCTCTTGCCTCAGCCTTTTCCTAAGGTAGCAAAAGCCTTGATGCTGCATTTTCTATTACCTGACTTTCATCTCTTCTCAGACCCTCAAACAGGGACATAGCCTGTACCCCTCATATGGGCTGTGAGAATTTCACATGGTGTTTAAAGTTGAATTCTGTGTCCTTATTTAATAGTCAAACTTTACATTTCAAAAAGAATCCCAACTTAGAAATGTGAATAGTATCCATCTTTGCATTCTTACTCAGCAACAATTGGTGACGACATAGGCATTCTCCTTTCCAACACTTTTGCCCACTCATCATCTCCCAGAACTTAAATCTGCCCCCTATTGCCATTGACCTTCTGATGCTTCTTGGATGTTTTCCACAGCCAGATCATCACTCAGGAAACACTAGAGTTTGCTACCACAGGTGAGGTTTGCTAGCACCTCATCTTCCTTTTCTTCATGATTCTATGGGGAGCTTCCTATGGTAACACTGCTTGCTGGCCTCTCTCTTTCCACTGTGGTCCCTCCTGCCCACCTGTGATGCTCACCTATCAGCACATGGACCCTCCCCTGGCCCCCATAAAGGCCTATGATAGGGAGGGGCTCACTCTCTTGGTTGCTCTTCTTTTTTTTTAAAGATTTATTTTTATTATTTTTTCATTGGAAAGGCGGATATACAGAGAGGAGAGACAGAGAGGAAGATCTTCCGTCTGATGATTCACTCCCCAAGTGAGCGCAACGGGCCGATACTATGCCAATCCGAAGCCAGGAGCCTCTTCTGGGTCTCCCACGCGGGTGCAGGTTCCCA